TTCTCAACAGCTGAAGTGCAAATCCGGTTGGCCAGTAGCCTAGGGTTTAGAACTAGCTCCAAAGATAATAGGCCTGCCCACGCCAAACCGGTATGTATTTATTCGTCCTCCTGTTTTAGTTATATTGGTCACTAGACGAGATGCGTATTTGACGGAGTGAAGGAACATCATCGACCTGGCTGATGCCAGCTTAGATAAAGGAACCAACTCATCCATAGCCACGCAACCCGCCGACACAGGCCACGTCCCCACCTTGGCTGAGTCATTCAAGTGATCTATTAGGCACCAGACAATCGATCAAAGTGCGTTCAACTGCGTTTCCCTGAAGCCGCGAAGGCCATCGCGGTTCCCCTGTACGAGCCGCAGTTGTGCTTTCAGAAACGGCTCGTGCTGAAACTAAAAATGCCTCCGCCCGCTAGGATTCCGACATCCGGTTCTCGAAAGGGTGTGTACACCACACTTGTGACCTATCGGATAGTGATCGTGAAGTGAATTTATACTTCGTTGGTTCTTTGGTTTATGGGTTTGTAGAGAGCGGAAGGAAGTTCATTCGTCAGCTCTGTCACTTCCCGATCCTTGCGAAGGTTTCTGGAATCATTGCGGAACAAGGTTCCGCAGAAGACCGCTATGTTTGTATTGAGGAAAGCAAAATCCCTGGCACTCAGATAATGGGAATCCAACACTCTTTTGAAACATTCCTCGGTCTCCGCAATGACGACGGCCTCTAGCAGGTTGTTCCAATCATTCACTAGCCGGGCGAATACGGCCAGATCGGGCCGCACCCGGAGTCGCCGCTGTTTGTAAGGGTTCCACTGGTGGCCTCGGGTTACACCTTTTGTGTTGAAACGAAAAAACGATTGCAGCTCACTTCCCAGCTCACCTCATAGGATATGTCGAGTGGATTCTATCTCCTCGGAGACGACGATAATCCAAATGGAACAGGTTCAACCGTCGAAGCCGTAGGGTTTAAGATAAGTCCCTCACACCTGTAACGGATTAAGATCCATGCCGCTGAAGCGTCTCAAACATGTCACCTTTGGACTTGGTGAGAGGATACGCGGCAAACAATCCGTACTCGAGAACTGAGCGCCACTGCGAAGCAAACAGGAATCGGAAGCCTGCGGGGGTTAGGCGTGAGAAGGCTCTCTGTATAGCGCGCAATATTCTGTAAGCGCACGTGACCCTCATCCGGGTGTCCTCGGTTGAGTTGAGGTCAACCGACACAATCACCCAGAAATTCCTCTCCTGGTTGTTATTGCTGAGAAAGAAACCCGGATATGGTAGGCCTCGAAAGGCTCAGGAGCACCGATTGGAAGGACAGCGCATTTGTCACGGTTAATGGGCAACTACCATTTTATTACCCAATCGTGGAGCAACTCGAGCGCCGCGTGAAACCCGTCTGCTTCTTCCAGACCGGATACCTCAATCCACCGCTTCAGACCATCCGCGTAGATTAAGCAGTCGGTCTGCGTTTCTGATGGCAGCCCGTTGATAAAGCTATTGAAGAGTTAGGGGCCGAGTAAAGATCCCTGGGGGCCCCACTTTTCATGCGAACTGGATCAAAAAGCGCTTCGTTCTCTTTACTCTGCATGGAGCGACCGTCCAGAAAACCGGAGAACCAGAGAAGAAAATTGCCAGCGAGGCCGATTCCCCGGAGGTTTAAGAGGAGTCGCTCATGCTGGACCTTGTCAAAAGCCTTACTGCAATCAACAAACACAGCATCCAGAAGCTTACCGGCATCTAAGGATCCTGCCCATTTTCCGTAGCCACCAGCAATTTTGTAAAGCATGAACGCGCCCTTCGGAAACCACGTTGGGCATGCAAGAGGAACTCCAACTCGTAAAGTTGAAGGCGAAGGACCCCGTTCAGAATCCCTTCCATGATTTTGCACAAAATTAAAGTCAGGCCGATGGGATGATAGCTGGCTGGATTCTGTCGGTCCCCTCCTTTGTAAATAGGTTTAGCGATTCCCGCCTACCAGGCAGTTTGAAGCCGCCGAGCTCAAAAGAACGATGGATGGTTTGAGAAACAGGAGCGGCAATGTACCTAGCCACGGTCTTAGGGAACAATGGGTGTAAACCATCAGGACTTGGCAAGGAATACGGGTATAGGTCTCGAAGAAGTATGTTAATATGCACTTGCTGTAATAGGGAAGGAGGAGTGAGCGCAACGCTATCCATGAGCGTCATTTCGGTCGAGTAGACAGAAATAGTGCTTGGCCAAAAGGCTAGTTTTCTCAAAGTCTTCGTAAACTAAGTCCAAATGCTCACAGCCCGATAAGGCATGGACACCACTGCCAGCTTTGGTGCATCATTGGAGGCGTGAGATGAGCAACATGGAGGTCGTACTAGTAGGAGCAGCTAATGACAGCTCGGCACTGGCGTTTCTAGCGTTTTCATGTTCCAAACATTCCTGACGGTTTTGTAATAGCAGTAGTCAAGCCCAACTAGCCTACTTCTGAAACGCTCCCACAGTTTATGTCTTCTTTTCAGCCTTGATCTCAATGCTTGATTGATCCAAGGAGAACCTTCAGAGAAGGGCTTTGTTCTGGAGAAGAAGATAGCCTGTTCAATGAGCAACGTCAGCTTGGAGTACAAGTGCTTCCACGCTTCATCAAGATTGTGGTGTTCAGAGATAATCAAATTGACAACGCTTGTAGCCGATTTCAGACAAAGTGTATCGGCCTACCAGAAATTCCGATGGTCGGGCCGCTGGCTGTGAATAGCGAAGCGACTTGACTACTGGAGTGGGGCAGTACACTGGTCACTGCTGCCCAGGTGTTGTAGAACTGAAAGGTTTGTGATGCTTGCTCGTGCTGCGGAAAGCACGAAATACAGGATATGCGGCATCTGCTCTGGAGGAATACGAGTTGTTGTAGTGACATATTGAAACAACTTACAATGCAGAATGGTCTCTAGTAAGCTGGTCTCGAAGAAGTCTGTAGGTCGGTCACAAAGGGCCAGGTTCAATTCAACAGCAGGAACATCGTAATCCCCAGCGACAAGACAACCCTTTCTTGCACCATGCCTCCTGATAAAGGCCAGCATTCGGGCTCCAGCTCCTGAAGGCGCTCTGTAGACGACACCAAAGGTGAGAAAACTCCGTCTGTCGTGAACACGCAAACAGAGGGTGTCGAACTCATCGTCTGTGTCACTGATGGCTGCAACTACATGTAATTTGATTCCAGCCTTCCATTAGACCATTACGCCACCGCCGGAAATTCCTCCTTCTCGGTTGGATCCGGAGTGGTGGGAACCGGGGTTATACACCACTAAATCCGTGGTGCCTGTGAAGGGCCAGGTTTCAGTGAAAGCCATCGGGTCTGGACGGGTCTCTAAGGCAATCAACTGAATCTCATCCAATTTATTACTTAGACTGTGCAAATTGGCGGTTAACACAAGTAGTCCATTTGTGTGCTAAATGGTCCCGGGATGAACAGAAAAGGTCTCCAACGGGCTCCCAGGGTCTTCCGAACCACGCAAAAAGCCGCGGTATGGAGGTCTGTTTCCCCACTTACTCGGTGAATTCGTAGCGCCTCAACCATCTTTTCCATTTGTATCCGATCCTCTGGAGAAAGATCACTTAGTACATAACACGGCAGACTTTTGATACGCGAAATCCGTCGCAGCAAACGTCGGTATTCCTCTTCTATTTGGCACAATACTTTGTGGAGGCACACTTTGGGTGGATCCCCCTGCTTCCTACCGAGCCGGAATGCAGAGACGACGTTAATTCGCTGTTCTCCCTCATCAAATAAAAAAGCGACCAACCGCTCGAGTGGCATTTGGTCAAAATTCCTTCCGCTGGGGTGACTTTGTTCGATGCGACTGCGTTTATACTGATGAGGAAACGGTCCCGAGAAAGTGGAGTGCGCATAGTGACTTGCAGTGTGAGAGAGGACGGATTATCTTTGATCACTTGCTCCTGCTCATCAAGTCTATAGAGAACGGCCTTCATTCGTGACTGAGATGCTGAGAGCTAAGAATAGGATTTTCCCCGGATTTAGGATTGAACTTGGCGGCATTATTGGCTGAGTTTTGACTGAATAAGGTTGAGGTCACGTTTGCCTTCCCTAGGGAGGAGTTTTCCCAGTTGTTGAGTTATGCATGCGGCTTAGAGACCAGCTTCCATTGGGGCATGCTTTCACCTGGGCACAGGCCGCTTGAAGCTGTGGCGCTCGCCCCGACAGCATAGTCTTGGACTTATTTTCTGGTCGACACATCATCTTACTAGGTGGCAATGAATCGGCCGACTAAGCGAAGGGACTGTAGTTTCGGTTTTGTGGGAGTGTGGCAGACCCAGATGCAGGTAGAGATATCGATGATGCAGGTGACTCGTTTTCCGGATTGTAAACGGCCAGGGCAGCAGGGCTGCTTTTACTGAGAGGAGGAGGTTTAGCCAGAAGGTACTTGTCATTCACTAATACTCGACATGAATTACTGTGGGAGCTCAAGACCGCAGCGACAGTACGTTGAGGGTATTTATATAGGGCGTCATCGAGGTTACAGCACGAAGTGCGCAGCCACCCTTCGCACAGAGCGCATTGAACACCTTTTGAGCGGGTGACATGTTTGCCACAATATATGCACTGGGATGACATAGCGGTTTGCTGTATTTATGCAGGAAACTGGAAAGTTCAGGAGCAAAAACATCGGTGGGGACCATTATCCGACAAGAGGGATCAATGGGATTTTGTCTTTGCTGTGATGCTGTGGGTTATAGCTGAATATACGCCCGCTAAAAAGGCTTAAAGTTATTTTGACATTTATTTGTTATTGACTTATTAATCATAGTCACAGTCATGTCTTTTACTTCGTCCGCCTAGCTTGCTTGAAAAACGCGCTGAATTTTGTAAACTTTTTCAAACTCAAAGTTAAGCCGGTGCAAGTTCCAATACAGTCAAGTAACCACATGCATAATACAACGTTGTTCAATACTTGTCAAGCATTAACTGGCATAACTAGGTTTATGATTTGAGGTGGGCATTTTAAATGGTTTTTAACTAACCCGCGCTTTCCGAAATGTAAGATGGCACCTTTCTCCCAACTTGTGATGTTGTTGTGGTCTCTCCCATCTAGTGCCTCTTAACATTTGTTTGCTTAACAAAGATCTGTCCTGCTCGACTTTTGGAACCTTCTACCGCTATGGATAATCAAATTCAGCCGCATGAGTCGGAAAACACTAGTTTCCTACAAGAACTTGGTGACCCCATTGCCTCAGGTTACTACAACAACCACCAAACAACCCACCAGAATTCGGATTTTCCTGAAGGAATTGTTAACGCGAGTGACTCGGTGTCTTTGTACAGCCAGCCTCTCTATGGTCATGGGCAGCCTGCGTCTCCCCGGCACGTTGATCCGAAATCTTTTTGTGAACCCCCTGGCGTATTTGCTTCCAACTTACCCAGCACTTGGAATAATGGCATTGCAAGACAACCCTCAGGATATCCTTCGTCATCTGTATCCCAACGTCCATACTATTGGCCATCCGGTTCTAGTTGTCCTACCTTGAGCTACCCTTCTCAGACCACCAGTTCTTACCGTGAGGCTCCACCGCTGACTAGCTCAAGACGGTTCCCTCTTTATGCTCCGTCAGTCATTTCGAATGTCCATTCTAGTGATGAAACAACTCCACCGGTCACCTGCGCAATACCCGTCTGCGGAGATCTTCCGAAAGTTTCGCCTAGCGACTTGTATAGCTCGTCGCACTGTTTTCAAAGCCCTACCAACTCCTTTTCTCAGCATGAACTGGCTGGTTCATCAGGACGTGTTGTGGATCCTACATATCATGCTTACTCATCAAACTTAGAGGAGCTGCGTGTTGTTCGTGATCGCATCGCTGCACTTCATCAAATCTCCGCCACGAACCCCTCGGTACAGCAGGAGTTGATGTTCCTGAAAGATAGGCTAAGGAGTCTGGAGTCAAATAGCTGTGTATCTCAACAGCTTTCTGCCGAACTTCTGGATCGCACCAAAGCTGATTCTTCTCGCCACACCGAAATTCCTCATTCCGTCACAATTACGTTGCAACCCACTGGTCCTTCGTCATCAAATTCCTCCTTCCCTACTTATGTCCACCCTAGGGTACCCAGTTCTTCTACCGATGAAATGGTCTACCCTCGTAGAACCGGGACAACTGGTAGCCAGTTGACTGATGACTTGCGTCCTTGTGGCGATGGTCGAGTTACTGGTGATTCTTTTCTCTTTTCGAATGTCGCTGGCGAAGTCAACTCAAAAAGTGCATCTCGCTCCTGCGAATTGGCCAATGCACCATTAGAACATTTCACAACCACACTAACTCCGACTGTCGATGCCAGCGGTACACCGGTGTGCACCACACCACTGACCTTCCTACCCGATGCTCTTCCTCCTACACCAGCTACCAACGACTCACTCAGTGATCGGTTCTCTGAGCATTCCATAACATCTGCATGTCTTTCACGATCAGAGTATGTCGAACGTGCAAATGAATTATCGCTTTGCGGAACGAGCGAGCCTCCATCCACCGTGCACTTATTTGATCCTACAGCTGTTGAGTCTCACATCGGTAATTCGGTTGTTCGGACGACTGGTTCGGCGGCTCACGATGATGCAGTTGGTCGCGTTCAGCAAATTGCTATCACCACAGTCAGCGTGCACCCCATACCTACCGGACGTTCTACCTTTCACTACAGACAGGCCGATGCTCCGCATCCGGCTCAATTCGCAGCAGGCTGCTTCTCCAACAACTTCGGGCGATACACAGACTCGTCAGAGTTTACCGATGGATCTCCAGGCGCTCATGCACCTCACTTTTACCAACCCACTGGACGTCCTTTTGTGGTGTACCAACATAACACAGTTGATCAACCGCCCGATCCCTATCATTACCATGGGTTCCAAGTAAGCACTCCCTTGATGTGTTAGCTTACTTCTCTTCATAGATGTCCTTTTGCTTGATTGCCTTCGCACTTTTCCCGGGTCTTCAGCTGTTTGCTCTCTGCACCCGGCGAAGTCACAAACCGTATAGTTTCATGCCATCCGATTACACTATTATCGCTTTGCACCGAATATAAAGCTCTAATTTCCTCTGAACACCGATCCACGAAGCAGCTTTACACTTTCATCCTGGTGGTGTTCTCACTTGTGTATTTTTTGGACTTTCTCTCTAGTTTCTTTCTTAAGTGTATTTTGTTTCGCTAGATGTTGATACCAATGTTGATACCCCCTAACTCGTGCCCACTTTCACTGAGTTATGGTGTAATGCATTCCCACATTGATTTGGTAAAATCGGCCGTGGTCAGTACAGGGATTAGTTATGTCCATGGTGAGTAGTGCTCGAACTACGAAGAGCTTTTGCTTTTTCCAAACGGGCTACTTGGCTTTATTAGGCACTGGCACTTGCTGTTTCAACTTCGGCGAATCCAGTAGTCAAGCAAACTTCTCTTGGCCACGGTGCTCCCATACCAAAGGTCGGCGCCCTGAGTATTTTAAACCTACTCGGAATCCGTGTTTATTGGATTGGATACGGATCCCAAATCATTCCCTGTGTATATTAAACACCCCGACTCTGAATTAGATATCCACAGCTTAAGGCTCCCAGTGGGATCCCCTTAGCTATCAGTTTTCCCCAGTCTCGGAAGTCCAGTCTCCTTGCTCACAGCTCATTGGAGACGAGATTTTGATACGTATCTAAAGAGCTCGTCTCGCTTCCTCCAGATTGAGGCACTTATGTCGCCACTATGACATCCGTCTCTCCATCAATCATCATCATACACGTTAGCTAGAGGTGCAAAACACTTCAGCACTTGTGCCGCAATACAAAGGAAAAGTATGAAACAGGCACACCGACTGATTCACCAGTAAAGGATGGACATCGCTCCGCAGAGCTAACAGACGATTATACTGGCGCAAAAAAGCAGTTATATTGTCTAATAAATGAGATCGTAGTTGAAGGAGGAGTGACAAAGAAACTCACAACACACAACTGTACCCAGCTACACGTGTTCATCGTCTATCGGGCCCCAACCAGGGAGCCGAGTTTCCAACCGAGGCCAATTTCGATCTAAGGCCCTTCATTCTTCCTGACCAAGTCTACGCTTGGCCACTTCTCCCATACGCACCCCCGGTGCACAAACAACACACCTCGCGGGACTCGGTGGGTTGGCATGCGCAACACGTGGTCCAACCATTAGAGCCTGGTGCTTGAAATTACGGTACTGAGCGGATCCTTTTTTCTCCTGAACCATAAACAAGGCGTCGAACACGCTCATGACTCACACGATGTTCCCCTCAGATGTGCGCCAAACTGCGAAGGCACTGGTGGCCCAACGTGACTAGCCTCTTTATATCATCTGATCTAATGGGCCAGGTTTCACGACCGGACAGCAGGATCTAACGTACGTCTGCAATGTACACTCTACCCTTCAGAGACAGATGTCGCGACGGCGCCATAGGTAGCAAAAGTTAGCAAAAGCGCCTGGTGTCTTTGCCCTTTTTGACCTCGTCTTCAATTCCAACGGCGATGACACAACTATCTAGCTAGTTGGACTTTTGAATGACGGTTCCTGTCAATCTTAGAGCAAAGCTTTGCACTTTATGGGTGCAAAGAATAGCCCGAAATGAGTAACATCTAGTGCTAATCTGTGTAGTGCCGCTTGGCACGTTTGGGAGCTGTCACAGATGAGGATAATGTCGTCAGCTTACACCAAGTCAAGAAGCCGTTCACCTGACAGCAACTCCACAACTCCTAAGTCTTATCCTGTGAACGCGATCTCCATAACCGTCATTAGCGCCATTGAGGAATGATGACAGCGGACGTCCTTGTCTTACGCCGCTGAAGATATTGAAGGGTGGCGACAGCTTGATGTAAGTTTTCACCCTATCCGAGCTACGCACGTAACGCGCTCACATAATCACATACTTCTCGGGCACAGCTTTCTTTAGCAGACAGTTCCAAAGGGGACCTCAGTCCACAGTATCGAAGGCATATTTTATGTTGACGTGCTCGAAAAGATTGTGAAAAAGAGTTCAGCTGCTGGGCACAGCACAGCACGGCTTCATGAGGGGCCGTTCGTGCATCACCAAACTGCTATTGATGCGGCAGGATTGGTTACAAGCGTTGAATCGGGGGAAGTTAGTCATCGTTAGCTACATTGATTTCAGTAAAGCTTACGATAATGCGAAACATGAGGTCCTGCTCTACAAGCTGAGGACGTGTGGTGTTGGTGGCGCACTGCGCCAACGGACCAGTGACTTCCTTATTGGGAGATGGCGGCTTCAGGTGCATGACCACCTAACGGAATGGTACCGGTCCACTAGCGGCGTATCCCAAGGCACAGTACTGGGGCTCATTTCATTCCTGATCCACAAACGAAGTACCTCAGCTTCTTCGGTCGCCTTGCACATTATTTACGTAAGGCCTGAAGATTTTGGAGATTATTGATTCTCCCAGCGACTGACGTCGTTCAGCAGGACCTCGACCGCCTATCCCGGTGGTCTGCAAAAGTTGACCTGCCAGACAACAGGGCCAAATCCTCGTTTATTAGCCCGAGGAGGGATAGTAATGGGCGTGCGTACACCCTGGCCGGCCACCCGCTGCATCCCACTAGTTCCCTTTAATTGATATAGGCGTACTCAAGCTGTGATCTGAAGTCTGTCAACTACGCGAACAGACTGTACGCAAACGAACTACGCCTACTTCGGGCACTTAGATGCAACTTCTGCACCTGGTCTGTAGAGATTGCCACCCGTCTGTTCTCTTCCATACTAAGACCGGTGCTTGAGTACGGCTCACCCGCCTATTGCCCGATGACAATAGGTGAGGTGCAGAGACTGGAACGGGTCCAGCATGTAGCTACCCGGCTCATCCCCAGTTTACAGGGTATGTCGTACGAGGACCGATGTAGGAGACTAGGGCTTTATACCCTGTCATATCGTCGGCTTCGAGTTGATCTCATTATGACGCACTGATACTGCACCTGGGCCACTTCCCTATGTTGAAGCCGCTGCCGCACGTTCGCGCACCAAGGAGCACACGCGGACACCGGTACAAACTAGTGGTACAGGATTTAAAGTACATCGCTCACCGTCTATACTTCGAGCGTCCAGTGGTGAAATGTTGGAACAAATTGCCAGACACTACTCGAGGCAAAATCGGTGTCGGAATTTAAGATTCCTTGACGCCCACTTTGCGGACCACAGGTATAGAGAGCGTATCGCACCTGGATAATATGTAGTGCAGCTGCAATATGGTGCCACCACGCAGGAATCATCAACGTGATTCCGCGCGTGTGCCCGATCCACCTACTATGGTGCAACAGATTTTTATCTTCCCCCTCTCTATTCTCTGTATAGAGTATTCAAAGAAACACGACTACGGGTGGCCGCCAATATGTGTGACTGCTCCAACAACTGACGTAGTGTGAATATGTGGTCGATGCATCCCTGACCACGATGAAACCTGTCTTGCTGTTTACAAATCTGGACTTCACAAGTGCTAGTCAGTCTGTGAAGGATTACAAAAGCGAGTAATTTGGACACGATGGGGTTCCAACTGATTCCACTATAGTTGCTGCACTCCGAACGCATGCTTACTTTGAAGATCGGGACATTAACGGAGCGGCTCCAGTCGGTTGGGATAGTTTCCTGCTCCCTCATTTTCACTAGTAGTTCGAGTACATCAGCAACAAGAGCAGGGCCCCTGAATTTGAAGAGGCTTGGATGAAGACCATCTGGTCCCGCAGCTTTACTCAACTTTACCAGTGCGATCTCACGTTCGATTTCTGAGCGAGAGGGCCGATCCAAAGAGAGCCCAGGGAGTAGAGCGATCGCTGGTCGGTGCAGAATCTAACAATTCCGGTTGATTAAATTGATTTTCATAATGCTCAGCCCAACGCTCTAAGAGTCTTGACAAGGTGTGGATAGGCTGTCCACTCTCATCATAAATTGTTTCACTAACACCATCAACGGGCGGGTTTATTGTGCTACACTCTGCGCTGTACTGTTGTACGGTTGAGAGACCTGGCCACTTCGTACCGTTGACCTGCGCTGACTTCGAGCACCTTTGCTTGCAACCCATTGCCCGTGTGTATTGGCTACACCATGTAAGCGACGTGAAAGTTCGATCTGTCTTTAATAGAGGCAGCCACTCCCTTGAAGAACTCGTCTCACTTCGTCAACCGCGGTGGCTTGGACACGGATTGTGGGTACCTGTTCAGTGTCTGCCGCATCGTGCGTTGTTTGCGGTTGCTGGATAGGGCATGAGGACGCGGCGTGCTGGATAGCCCACAACTTGGTGAAATGGCGTGAAAATGCTAACGAAACAGTCGACTCTTCTCGACTCTCTCTTAGAAGTCCAAGAAATGCGGAGTGTCGCTGGTTGGAAACCTTGGAATTCATGAATCAAGGCCGAGATCACTTGTGCTTCTAGGTCGAATGGCGCACAACCAGCTGTTCGTTGGACACTGTACTAAAGAAGCTCCCGCACGTCTACTTAGAACAGTCTCAACACCTTAGTTACCGCGAGTTGTGGAATGGACATAATCGGAGACTCGGAATATCTAGGCTCTGCCATTGGAACCTGGGTCACGAAAACATAAAAGTAGGACGCTATCGTCCTGTTTATGTTTCGGATACATGCATCAACTTCTGTGGAGCACAGCCACCGCGAATATTGCGTGTTGGCTGATCTGACACTGTCTAGGACGGTGCCCTAGGTATAATAGATATAATGTTTTGTTTGTTCGTGTGGCTTATGATGTCTGAGGCGATCTCTTTATGGCTAACCCGAGAACGGGATTTTTGGGATAGAAGGGAAACAGAAGCGATGTGAGGGTTATTAGTTACCCTGTTTTGAGCACAAAATATACTTTCCGGCTACAAGGTGGTCGACTGACAAATTT